AGTGAACCCAACAAGCCAGCGATAATGATCTCAGCATGCTCTACTGGTGAGAAGTGAGGCTCCCATCACCTATTCTGCTGGGCTCACTGGCAAACGAGCTCTACGCTTACTGTGAGTTTTCTTTTAATTTGATTCATTAAAAGAATTAATTTAATTAATTAAAATTAATTTTCTTTTAATTTTAATTTTTTAAAAGTACGGAGTAATGCTGAGCCTAAACCATCCTCCAACTCATGATCTTCCTGTCCCAGCCTCTAGGATAATGGGGATATGCCACCATACCAGGCTAAAATAACTCTTAGACCAACCGCCTCCCACGCTTAGTTTGGACACTTCTAACAAGGGAATCGCTTCACAGAACGGCCACACTCTCTCCAGAACCTCCCAGCAGTTATAGTACTGAGGACTAAACATCTTTCTTGAGGACAAGATCAGAAACTAAGAGATGTACACTGCCACGGTGCTCTGGGGGCCAGGAGGTGAGGTGAGCGAGGCAGAACCCAAACAATGGGTGTCCCTTTTGAAAACTGGTATCTGCACTCCACTTAAAAGTGCCCAACTCATAAATTCTGTTCCGGAGGTTAACTGTAACTAAAGAAAAGATAAACCCTAGTTTATGAGTTTATGAGTCACCACAAACAAGGGGAGGTTATTATTACAACCAGCTAGGAACTGGGATCACTGCAGCCGGCTAGGAAATGGAGTAAGGTTTTTAAAAGTAACTCAGAAGACAGAATGTCAGATCCTCAGTGAGTTCCTAAGTGCCTTCTTCTCAGACGAAGAAGCTGAGGTTCCAAGAGGGTTTACTGTTGGCCCAAAGTATATCCAGAACTCAATTACAAGTTTCTCAAATCCAATACCAAGGTAAGGTCATCCAGGTCTCAGGGGTAGCTGTTAAGGGGCAGTGCTCACTAGCACCAACTCCCTGGATTCCAATTGAAAATTAATAGCAAGGGGCTTGGGAGAGGGGGTGGATGTACCTCTGGAGACAAGAAAGCAAAGCCAAGCACGTGTTCACCTTCGAGACAGCAACTCTGCCTACATCTGGAGCTTGCTGTGTTGATGAGACCGGCGGGCCAGCAAAGCCCTGGGGTCCACTGGTCTTTGGACCCCCGTGCTGGGATTACAGGAATGCTCCAGATTTGGTGGGCTTTTGTTTGCTTGCTTGTTTGGTCGGTGTTGTTTTATTTTTTACTTTTTACAAGTGTTCTGGGTCAGAACTCAAGTCCTCAGGTTCATGTGACCAATACTTTGCTAACTACGCCATCTCCCCAGCTCTAAGAGATTTTGAACTGGAAACTGAGAGATTTTTGGTTAACCATAACCTCTTTTGTTCATAACCAACAAGTATCTAATTCTCAAAGTTTAAATTGCAGCCCTGAGCACTGCTTTAATAACCTCGCCATCACAATCTTTTCTAAAGCAAAGCCTGGGCCAGCAGGATGGCTCAGCAGGTAAAGGTGTCTGCCCCCAAGCCTGACAACCACACGGTGGAAAGAGATAACATACTCCCACAGGCTGTCCTCCTACCTTCAGACATACACCGTGGCATGTGTACACCACATACACAAAACAAATAAATGTAAAAAATTCAAGTGTCAAATCTTTTTAAAAGATTATAGATCATATTCTATATCATAAAAGATAATATTCTAAAAAAAAAAAACCACTGTAAGTCTAACTGTGGTACAGCCCAGCACTAAACTATAATCATGAAGCACAAGGTCTACACGAGCCCTTTCCTGGAATTATACATTAGACGGAATACTTAATTTTTGTCTTTGGAGATAAAGTCTCACTATGCACCCCAGCTGCCCTAAAACTCACAATCCTCCTGCCTCCACATGCTTGTTATCATATCAAAAAAAAAAAAAAAAGGCAAACGAAGACCAGTAACATTTCCCAAGGATGAGATGCCCGCAGCCCAGCTGACAGCAGAGGATAAACAAAGGATGCCCACTTAGCCTACTTAAGCTCCCACACAATTAGCCACTCATCATGTTGGTGGTGGCTGTGCTTTAAAAATGGCAGCGAGTGCCCCCGTGCTGCTTAGTGCTCCCCCAGCTCAAGACAGCCATGAAGTAAAGTGTGGAGAAAACACACTTGGCTGTACTGCAGTACTAGTGAGTCTACACACACACACACACACACACACACACACACACTAGCCACGGCAAACGGAAACACATAAAACAAGGCTGTGTACTGATCGGCTGAAAACAGGACCATCATTTTCAGGGCTGATCCTTGTGGGAGATCCCTCTGAGGCAATGATTTAGTACTGATTAATACTATCACAACTGTTTTTACATGCAACGAGAGAAAAAGCATGAAATAGCAAGCATTTTTATCAAATGAGAGCATTTTCCCCAAGCTCAGCAGTGATAGCTGGTTTCCCAAGTAAGATAACACAAAAACTGCTGACTGGTGCCAGTTTGTCTTCACAGGCTAAAAGAAGGCTCAAGGAAATGCTCATTACTTCACCACAGACCAAAAAAAAAAGACAAAGTGGTCTTTGCACATGAAATAAAAATAACTATTTAAAAATGTTAGGTGCAATAACAGAAATATTAAGTGGCTTTTTATTTTAAAAGAGAGGATCTTATGTAGCCCAGACTGGCCTCAAATTTGCTCTGTAGCTAAGGATGACCTTGAAATTCTCTGGTGCCTACCTCCTTAGTAATGGGATCACAGACCTTCAACACCAAACTTAGTGTGCTGGTTTGAAAGAAAATGGCCCCGAATGGGAGTAGCGCTATTAGGAGGTGTGGCCTTGTTGTAGGTGTGTATGGTCTTGTTGGAGGAAGTCCATCACTGTGGGGGCGGGCTTTGAGGCCTCTTCTCAAGCTTCATTCAGTGTGAGTCAGCCCACTTCCTGTTGTCTGCAAGATGTCCGACTCTCAAGCTATTCCTCCAGCATCACATGGGCCTGCATGCTGTCATGCTCCAAGCTCTGATGATAATGAACCGAACCTCTGAAACTGCTTGCTCACGTGGTCTCTCTAAGTAGCCACAGCTGTCCTGGAACTCACTATGTAGAACATGTGGCCTCAAACCTACAGAGATCTATTTGCTTCTGCCTTAGCCTAGAGCTGGGGTTAAAGGTGTGTGTCACCATGCCTGCCCCTGAACTTAAAAAAAAAAAACAAAAAACTTATTTTATGTGCAGTGTTTTGCCTGCATGTATGTTTATGAGCCACTTGTGTGCCTGATGGCTGCCAAAACCAAAACAGGGAATCTGAACCCGTGGAACTTGAGCTACAAACAGCTGTGATCCACCCTATGGGTGCTAGGAATCGAGTCTGGTCCTCTGGAAAAGCAGTCAGTGCTCTTAACTGCTGAGCCATCTCTCCAGGCCCTATATTTAGTCATTTTTGAGATGGTGTCACACTGTGCTGCCCTGCCTGACTTCAAACCAACAATCCTCCTGCCCCAGCCTCCCAAGCATCACCACACTCAACTGCTAAATGCCACCCTTTAATTCAGAGTCCCAAACCATGACTTTGTAGCCACCCTTGAATTGTGCATATATTCTCATAACAAACTACATTTAGTTCCCTGGAACATTTTTATTCAAGATTTCAGAATAAGATTGCCCAAGGATTAAGAAATAGCTTCTAGTCACCTAATGGAAGGCAGAGAGGAAAAGGTGGGGAGTATTACTCTTGGCTTCTAAGCTGACTTGTGTGACCTATCTTATCCAACATATCAACTTGCCGAAAATGGAACAAATCTATTGCCACATCATGACCATTACTCCCGGTACCCTAGTGGACAACAGACAGAAAGAGAATTAAGCTACTGAACTATAACCCCTGTACCTGCCTGCCTGCCTCCCTCTCTCTCACACACACACAGACAGACTCACACACACACACACACACACACACACACACACAAAGCAGCTAGTTATATAACAAGAAAATGGATGCAATTATCAGAATTTAAGCAGTCTTGAAATTTTCCACTGCTCTCTACTGTAATTAAAATCTTGGGGAATGGCCAGGTAGACGCTTTCTGGACCTCTGTTATGTGTTCAAAGCACCATAACTCTTCTGGGGGGTGGGGGGAGTAGACAGCTGCCAGGCTTGGTGACACTTGTCTATAATCTTAGCCCTGGAGGTTGAGGCAGGATTGCCGGGAGTCTGAGGCCAACCTGGGTTATAAATTGAGGGAGTGACTCTTCTTACAAAAATAAATAAAAACAAAAACAAAGTAGCTGTTACATTTGGGAATCTAAAAACTGTGTACAAATATTATGATCTACACTCAGAAAATCGGGTAATTGTAAAACGTAACCCAAAAGAGAACCTAAAACAGGCTGCACAATTTACTAGACGACAGAAATTTTCCCTATCCTATCTCAGCTATTCTACATAAACATCTGCAGTTAATACGGGTGATTAAATTGAGTACATGGAAGAAAGCAAAGCGTGGTTTTCTAGGGACAATGAATGAAATTTAGGTCTAGTGTTCTGGAAGTCAAGCGAAGTACGTACGCAAGTACACAGCTCAGCCACATACCCGCACAGGAGAGATGGTGCGGAAACCAATCTTTCCAAGGTTCCAGAGCCACTGGAAAACTTTCCCTTCTGTCCTTTGCATTGGGAAGACCTAAACCTCAAGGACTACTAATCAAGGCCGCAACCCAGCACGTGGCAGACGCTCAGGCACCGGGCGACAGGGTACACACCTACCTGCCAGGCCACCAGGCCACGGGCGCTGCTGTCATCCCAACTCCTCCCAGCCTTCCCCCAAGTCTTTGCTGAGACCACCTCCACTTCTTCCTATTCTTCTCTATCTAACCAAAAGCAAGGACAGGGAAGGCAGAAGATGGTGGCGCGAGGAAAAGCACCCCCACAGCCTCGCTCTTCCCCATTCCAGAGACGCAAAGCCACACCACGTCTCCTCGAGCCCGCAGGCAAAATCCGCAACATTTAAATTTCTTTTTCAGACGCTTTTAGGCACAAATAACTCCGCCGCTCCCTTCCGCCCCTCACCTTCACGAAAGCAATCGGGGTTGTGGTACCTTCGATATCTAACAGGATAACTGTAACTTCGGCGGGCACCGAAACCACGACCATTTCCCTGCCGGATGCTACCACGGGCTCGGCCTCGCTGGTAAACGGGAGAGCGCCGCCTGCGCCCTGGGACGCCCAGCAACGGTCGGAGCGCTGGCAGCGACGAGCGACTAGAGGCGAGAACGCACACAGGCCGGCTCCAGGGAACCGCGATGGCAGAGCAAGCCGCCCAAGGTGCTGCACCCCAAAGAGCAGATCAGAAGCGCAGGCCCGGACCACGTGAGCAGACAGAGGGGCGGTGCTCCGGGGTCCCCAGGGGGCGTGGAAAGCAGGGCGCGCGCACCGATTGGCCACCGGCGAGCCGAGAATGCGATCCGTCAAAATGGGCCTCGCGTGGGCGGGAACAAAGAAGCGAACCCCCGAGCCCGGAGCCCGGACGCGAGCCCTCCGCAGCCTGGTGGAGCCGGAGCAAGTGGCACGGCCGGGGCACGTGCAGACGGAAGCCCCTGGAGTGGCGCGCCGGGGACGTGAGTGTCCCCTTGCCTTTGCCCGCATCCGACCCCTTCCCCGCCCACCCCGTGCGCTCGGGCACCGCTTCAGTCATCCGAGCAGGCCCCGCCCTCCGCCGCGGCCACAGCCAGCCTGGGAGGCCGCTCGGACCCGGGCTGCGGCGACCCTGCAGCCGAGACCCCCGG